GTTTCTTAATATTTTAAACATATTTATTTTCCTACTAAATGGAGTCTTTAAAACTACTATAATATCCTTGAAAATTTAAAAATCTGTTGTTTCTAGAGATATTAGTAGATATGAACCAAAGATCACCTATCTAGAATGTCAATAAAAACCTTACAATTTAAATGTTTTTGCAAAATAGTAATTAAATTACTAATTAAAATAAAGTAGAAGTAGTAAAAAAAATAAAACAGTAAATAGTAAAAATTAAAAGTAAATTTAATTAAATTTAATTATTAAATTTAATTTAATTTTTAATTTTACGGTAGTTTTTTCAAGTGTTTTTTGTCTAAAACTTAATATTGTCAATTTTAGTGTTTAGGTTTAAATTTAGAATATTGATAAAAAATATTTAATATGTTAATTGTTACATCTTATTATTAATTAAATACGTTAATTATTAATTGCATTTAATTTTTATATGTAATTTTTAATTTTAACGTAGTTTTTTATGGGATATATGTCTAGAACTAAATATTGTGTAGAATATCAATAACAATTTTTCGATTTATTCTATAATTTAATTTTATTAAATATTTAATTTAATTTTATTAAAAATTCAATTTAATTTTTATTAGTTGAAATTAGTTAAATTTACATATTTTATTTGTTTTTTAATTTTAAAAAAAAATTTTCTAAAGATATTTGTCTAGAATTAAATATTGCCAATGTTAGTGAGTATAAACCAAAGGTCTTTTATCTTCAATGTCAAAAAAATTATTAATTTCTTAATTATTTTATTTAATCTTCATTTCTTTAAATAATCATTACCACATTTTTCTAAAAATATAAGTTCACAAAAAAAAATTTTTACATATAATTAGGAATTTTACCAGCAAACCTATTGGGTTCAGCTACTAAATATAATTTTTAAACCTCATTCAATGATAATAGCTTCCGCGTGTATGTATTAATAATAAAAATAAATAAATTTTTGCAAACTCATTTTTATATACAAAACTTATTTGTTTATATTCTGTATTTTTTTATATTAATGAAAAAAAAGCTTTAAGTGTCTTCAACAAGATCTAGATATCACGCGTATATTTAATATCTTTTTGCTCTTAATTATAAAAAGAAACACTCTTACTAAATCAGAGACGGTGAGAGGCTTGAACTAAATTTTTAAATATAATGTAGAATATAAAGCATAATTATATAGATTTACGTCTATGACTGATTATAACATATTATTAAACTTATCAAACTTATTAAATAATATATGTTTCAGATTTATATTATGCACAATCTGAAACGCCAAGGTTAAAGGTGTCAATTATCTCTGACGTATATAGTACGATTTTGCTAGAATAAACGATAAAGTTCTAAATTTGGATTTTACTATATATTTTACTACTAACAAATTATTGTTGTAATGAAAATAATTTTATATATACTATATATACTAACCGCTATATATATAATCGTATATATTTTTAAGAAATATACAAATAGTACGTAAATATTATTGTTTACACAAAAATTTGTTGTGTCGAACACAAAAACATTTAATTCAAGCTAAAAAAAATAATTACAATTAAAATAATTTAATAACAATTAACGTCAATTGATCAATTTAGTTCACTTATCATTTTAATTTAAAAGTATCACTAATCAATAATAATGGAATTTAATCAGCAATGTTTATAGTTAGTCAGTATTTTTTTTTCTGCCTACAAATCTGAAAACTAAATATGAAATAAGGAGGTGTGTCTTATTTATAAATAATTATTTTAATTATATACGAAACATATATTAAAAAAAATTCTCTGTAAACTGAAAGTCCACTCAGTGATGTAATGAAAGCACATTGTTTTTAAATACTTTGACCTCATGATTTAAAAAAAAAAATTAATTAAAAATTTAACAAAATGAGAAGGGAATGTAGACAGAAAATATTAATATATTTAATAAAAGTTTTTTTGTACAGACTGATAACATATGTTATCAATTTTTTTTTTTTGATTGAAGCATCTTTTAAAAGTTTAAAGTCCAGTTTTGAATGATTGAAAGAAATTGAAAAGCCAAGATTTTTTTCAGAGATATGTATATTTAATTATTAAGTAAATTATATGTAAAAGTTTTACATTTTAAAACAATAATTATAATATATCTATTACTAAAATATAACAATTGTATATATTTATCTTATTTAATATATATGTTATTTTTTATATAAATATTAATTATTGTTTGCTATAAGTACTAGGAATTGAAAACTTAAACGTATATTTAAATATATATGAGCAGTATTAACATGTTATATACTAATTCTAGTACTATAATATATATAAAGTGTATATATATGTATATATATATGTTTGAACACTAGTAGCCATTATATACTAATTCTAATATAAAAATTCGTTGTTTACTACTTGTTAAAGTATAGGTATTTATTATAATTCAACAATTATTTCATATAATTATATTTTGGTATATGTATATGGTAACTAAATTCGTATATGAGTCTAAATTTAGTCAAAAATTTATTAATTTATATATATATATTCTATTTGGCTTTGTCCTCTTTGTGGCCTTATTTGAATTTAATACATGCATACATAATTTAATTCTTAATTTACTTTTCAAATAAAACAATTCAATTAAAATTCTACAAGTATTTCAAGTAAATAAAAATAATTTCTTAAAACAAAAATACAATTTTAAAATATTTATTTGTAGTGTACAATATTAAAATGCGTTCACATTCGAAAAGTAACGCTCAAAAGCTGACAATGCTTGCGTTGCCAACACATATTACAGCCATGCTCTTCTCATCATTTTAGCCAAAGTGACGTCGTAAACATATATTAAAGCTTTTATGCATATTCTATAAGTACATTTATAAGTACGTTAGCAGTCTCCTTTTTTGTTACAATTTTATAAAATATTTTTAAAATTTAAATTTAAATTAGTTTAACTGATTTAAAATATAAATATTTTTTTTTTTTTGTCAAATATTTAATTTAAAATCTTTTATTATTTCGTAAATATGCTTTTCTCTTGACCTCTTCTTTTTCACAACTACCATCAGCACCACGCTTTCTACATATTGTCTCAGTTTTTAAAACAAAACATTGCGTTTGCACAAAATTAAAAAATAATTGTCCAATCGTATTCGCATCTTCATCATTGGCCATTTTTAGACAGGTGCGAAATCTACGATCGCACATGCAGGATGACAGTGTATAAGGTCGATAGTTGAATAATTCATAGCGATTACTCATAGCTGAAATATATGTTGGGCAGTGATCATGACGCCGGCAACATTTGTCGGCTAGCGAAGCGCCACCAATTACATTATAAGTACCATTAGCCGTATTCCCTCTACCGCACCAACGCGTATTTGGTGCTATTAGCCACTCAGATAATCCTCTTTTTTTGCGTATATTTGTTGTTTCAGCGTTAAGGCCATCATCGGTTTGTTGTTGTTGTTGTTGTTGTTGTTGTACACTAGCTGCACGCTTCGTGACGTCACTAATTTTATCGTATGATTTCTGGTATTGGCCAATTGCATTTGTATTATTATTCAAACCTTGTTGTTGTTGTTTTAACGCTTGTATGTCATCATTTAATTGAAATATATTTAAATTTTTATTTTCTGGTAAATAAATAGCCAATGTATTTATTACTAATATTAATGAGATTAATAAAAACACTAGAATTTTATTAATTATATTATTCATTTTAAAATTCAAATTTCTAATATATATATATTTAAAATAAAAATATATTTTAAATAAAAAACCGCCGACACCGATCCGAATTCACTTGTGTTAAAATTCCAACTGCCGTTTATACACGCTCTGCCTATCTTTTATGCAGTAATTTTGCCAATTAGAATATTAAGGGTTGCCAGCACATTATCTAAAAATAGTTGTGCTAATCTTCATTAAACCTAATTTAAATATGAAAAAGTAAATAAGATAAATATTGCTAAGGAACCTACCATGTTATATAACAAATAGTCGTTGTAAGTGGAATTTTAAAAATTTTTCGGAATTTTTAGAATTTTTCGTTACAGTTTCAATTACACTCTTGCATAGATTATGTACTTAGCATGATATTATGTTTCCACTTGTCACTTAGCTAATAAGAATAATTTACCATATAAAGAGTTTTCATGTAAGTGGGCTCATTATAAATAAATCAGCTGATCTAATGTGATAAATTTCGAATGCAACTCTTGAAATAAATTTCCCAAAAAGGAAACCACCAATATTTGAAATATTTGTCATGTGTTTTATATATTAATTGCAATATAATCAATAAATTTTATTAATAAAATTTTATTAAAAATTATATATTAAAATATTATA